GTCCTTGCCTTGTCCCATGTCCCATGTTCGGACGTATACGGTACACTACCTGCTGCACTACCCAAGCCATATGAGGATGCGGATTCGGATGTAGACCAAGCTCAGGCACGGTCCCTAGTTGAACTTCAGGGCTCTATACACTCCACGCTTTCCATTCCATTTCAGGGCGCAGCAGACTTCGGGGTCGATGGCCGGTGGTCAGTGGGATGATGGGCAAACTTCAAGCTTCAGCGTTCAATGTTCAAGCCCGGGTACAGATTCAGTTTGACGTCCTCTTCATGTCGCAGACCCATTCCGGCTGCGCCGTCCGACGAGAATACAAGTCCATCGTCCGTCCGTGTTAAGCACACCTCTTGCACCTTCGCTGCCGATGTGCTGGTAGCTCATTGAACGCCTGTGGCATCCTCGTAATCCATCCTAGCACATTCACCAAACCAACCACAATTGCACTTGGTATTATTACATCCGAATCATTGTGCAAAGCCTCCCTCGGTATCTGCGCTTAGGCTCAGCATCATATCCTCATCTCTCTCAAAATCACTCCTTCCAAACCGATTCGCATAAGAGTAAGAATAAGAAATGCCTTTAGTCCGTAACTACGATTAATACTTACCGATCCTAAGAATGAATAATTGAACCTACCATACTCGCCCGGACCAGGCCACGCACAGTCCTACACGAAGCATCAATGGGGTAGTGGTAACCTTGGTCGTTGCCAGACAACGTTAAAATTCGACCAGCCGCGAGTTCAATTCTTGCTTGATGCATTGTTTTGCTGCTTTTCCATTCTCTCCCTTTCCATTTTTTTTCCTTTATTACTGAGAGACGGATAAGGAAGAAGCGTGCAGGAGACTCTCAGAATATACGAATATGATTTCGTGGTTTATTTATTGTACAGGTATGTTAATGGTTATGCTACAGCGTTTCTTATGCCGCAATTAGGATAGATGCTCAATATGCAAAGAAACTTCGTCGAGAAATATACACATCTAAAATGAGAAATCAGTTTGAGGACACGCAACAGTGTTTCAGAAGTGACTTACGATTTACAGAGCGAAACAAAAAAGAAAAAATCATATTCCAATGGATGGTAGGTTTATTACCAAGCCATATCTTCAGGGTCCAACATCTGAGCCTTAAAAAGGAATGAATCGCATTAGTTTTCGCTCAGAAGTAATATCACAGAGCCAGTGCTCACCCCAGGCAGGCTGTCGCTGGTAGCGACCGCCTCAAACTTGCTGGTGCGTGTGCCCATGAGCTTGGAAACGACTTGGTTGACGGTGGAGATCATAACGAGGTTGGATGAGGGCGTTGCGAGGAAGGAAGAGTGTTGTGGTGGTGGACGATGAGATGCAAGGATTGCTGAGGAAAGTACGTCCAAGAATGCCGCATTTATACGAAAACCAGAACCCCAGCGAGAGTCTGTAAGAGGTCGCGACACATGATTAATGCCGCGCCCCTTGATGTCGACGCATCAATGCGCCTGTGACCGTCGTGGCGAGTTCTCCGACGCCTGTCCGTAATTTCCGCCTACGAGCGTGGCTGTCCATCCGCTTAACTAACAATTTCGAGCCCATCAAATGCCAAGTCTATTTTTCTCTTCTGGGGTCAAGAGCCCTTCACGTCCGGACTCCAGACTCCATGCGTTCCATTGTCCAGCATTTCCGACCCACGAGGTCCTCCCCCGCGCGGCCGGGCGCGAAGAGTCCGAGAGTAGACCTCATGGACGTCAGGATGGTACCACCTGGTCTGTCTTTCAGTCGCATATCAGTGTAATTACTGATGTGATTAGTGGTACTGCGTAGACCAATAGACTTCATGCATCCTCGTCCTCC